TCCCCCCCGACCATGCCCCCCCCTCCCCTCTTTTGCCCCACGCACCACTGAACTCTGACCCTCTGATGGACTCTTCCACTCCCCCCTCCCAAATACACACACACTCTGTCACTTTAATCAGACTGAATAAGCTCTTTTGCACAACAAATAATTTTTTTTGCACTACAATCATTATATCTGCACTGTTGTTTACTTTACTTGTTTGCACACTATCTGCCATATGCCTTGTGCTTTATATATATATTTTTACATTTTACCTTATTTGTATAGTTGTATTTTGTATTTAATCTGTATTTATGTTATCTGTATGCACCAAGGGTCTGAGAGTAACGCAATTCAAATTCTCTGTGTGTATGTGCTGTACATGTGGAAGAATTGACAATAAAGCAGACTTGACTTGACTTGACATAAAAAAAGCAAACATAAGCTCACAACACAATGACATAAAAAAAAGCAAACATAAGCTCACAACACAACGACATTAAAAAAGCAAACATAAGCTCACAACACAACAACATTAAGCCACAACACAACGGAAATGCTCCCGACCACTAGGGGGCAGTGTTGACAGTTAAACACCGATATTTCCTCGAGACGCCACAAGAAATTCTCAATGTAAGCAATTGATCTTAATATGTGTAATCAATTTGTAAATGAACAACGTGTTTTTACTGAATGTTTTGATATCCTGGTAATTTTAATGTATCAATTCATGAATCGAGCAGAAAATAAATCAATATTATTTTCGATTTGGACAGTTTAGCTCTTCTCTTGCGCACAATGGACTCTATGCACGGTCACTTCTGCATTTTTCCTCAGTGGGCTTACTTAAATCCGGTGCTGTGCCGAAAGCCATTGTTCCTTACGTAGAGCTTTCAAAATGACAAGAGGAGAAGATGATTTTTCAGCTTACAAGAACTTCCCCGGATTACTGTAAATGAATGTAATCACACGGAGAAGGGCATTCAACGTTTCAAGTTACATCAACAACTTTTGGGGAGAGTATTGTTCTATCGTCTTCTAGCAAATCTTGCTAATAAGGCTGGATAACGCTGCATGACTTCTGTGGCGATTTGATCAGCACTTAAATAGCAGGGCTAAGTTAGAGTTTAGCTTTAAACTCCGTCCACCTCAGGTTTTTATAACTCCTAAGAGATAGTAGCAATAACATCAGAGCTCCCGGTAATCTACGTTTGTTTGCATCTGTGGCTGTGATAGGAACGTCTTAACTTGATATAAAGTATTTTAAATACTGTTCCCTTTTTTAGATTGCCATGTATCGTAATAAACCTTAAGTCTGACCGTTTCTGGCGGTTCATTGTTATATTTTCCCGAAGCTTGAATTGATCATTTACATTTAATATAGCAGTTTTCCAGGGATCCCTAACACAAACATGATGAAGCTGTTCAGTAAAAAAGCAATTAAGATCAGAAGCAATTAGGATCAGGAACGGTTAAGAGTAGGGACATCCTTTGAAATATTGCTTAACTCTTTACAGTGTATTGGCATGTTTGTAACATTATATAGACTTAATTCTTCATAATTAATTTTAAATATAGTTTAATTTACAATGTAACAATTTAAAATGCAACTGAAAGTAATTCAAACTGTATCTGAAATAAATTCAATATGTAACCCAATGCAATTATCTTCACATGTTACTCCCATCCATACTGTTGCAGCACTGTACACTATTCAGAACTGAGAATCAGTACAGTTCCTCCTGTACAGAGCTGCACTGAATGGAGCAGAACTGGCACAAACCTAGAACAATGGTATGTAAAACAATTATAAAATTCTTTAATGAATGACATAATTAATATACTTTTTATTATTAATATTAACATGCCCCATTGGTATGCCTACTTTATACACTCACTCTTTATTGGTTGATTTTTTTCTTTATAAAAGTAAAACATTTTTAATGCAATACTTTTTTAATTTCACGTTACATGATTTGTGGATTTTAAGGCTGATTTTCTATTCTATATATATACTATTTCTATTCTATATAAAATTACAGAGTTTGAATGTAAAAATACAGCTAAATATAAAACTAGATTTACTTTAAAATTACAAAAAAGAACATTAAATTGCTAGTATGGACATAAACCTTTAATATAATGAACTACGTTATTTAATTACAGAGTATTTTTGTAATTTTACGAAAAATTTGTACATAATTTAACAAAACAGAAAAAATACTGTTTAAATAATACAGTAATTTTTGTGTAAAAAATTATAATTACTGTAATTTGTCATTAATGGAATAATACTGAAAATAAGTCAAGTTGGTAATTTACCGATATTGTTTGTAATTTTACATGAATTTGTATGTAATTTAAGAAAACAGAAAAAATACTGTATACATAAGGTAATTTTCCCTTATTCAAAAATTTGAAATACTGTAATTTGTCATTAATTAAATAATCCTTAAAATAATGGTTAAGTTGTTCATTTACAGATATTGTTAGTAATTTTACATAGCTTTATACAATTTAAAAATACTGTAAAAAAAAGTTATTTTCCGTAAAATTAGGATTTGTTTTACAGTGTACTTACAGAAGAAGAACAGGAGAATCAGTTACAAATCCACATGACAGTATATCTTGCATCTGTATTTTCTAAAATTCATCATAAGTGGAGGATTTATTTTAAAAACAACAAAGAACAAGTTAAAAATAAATCTCTCTCTTAAAAGTGTTACAGCCTCTTCTTCATCTTCCTGAACAAGAACAGTGTGTAAAAAGCTTCTTTCCTTCATGAAAGAGTAAACAAACTACAAGTGACACATATGCATTATACGACAATTGAACATAATATGAAACTCATAAAAACGCACAAGGATATCATTTATATAATGAAACAAAATTATATACAAGAATATAGCTTTGTGACATTGTTCTTTAGAGAGGAACTCCATCTTTGAGTTGATCTGAATCTCACAGTTGAATCTGCTGGTTTTGAAGATGAACTTTATTCACTGTGAAAACTTTAGATAATGTTTATTTGTCATGTCACTTGTAATATCTGGTTAGGTTATAACCAGAACGTAGACGATATTTTATTGCTTGATTCATTATCGTGTCACATTTGGTGAAGACGCAGCATCAGATCTAAAGATGATCTACTTACTGTGAATGTTTTTTGTATGTGTGTGTAGAGCAGATAATTGATTGAAACACTTCCCACATGCAGTGCAGTGATACGGTTTCTCTCCAGTGTGAATCCTCTCATGTGTTTTCAGATTTGATGATTGATTGATCTTGTCACAGTGTGAACACTTGTAAGGTTTCTCTCCAGTGTGAATCCTCTCATGTGTTTTCAGATTTGATGATTGATTGATCTTGTCACAGTGTGAACACTTGTAAGGTTTCTCTCCAGTGTGAATCCTCTCATGTGTTTTCAGATTTGATGATTGATTGATCTTGTCACAGTGTGAACACTTGTAAGGTTTCTCTCCAGTGTGAATCCTCTCATGTGTTTTCAGATTTGATGATTGATTGATCTTGTCACAGTGTGAACACTTGTAAGGTTTCTCTCCAGTGTGAATCATCTCATGCAGTTTTAAACACTGCGCTGAAGTAAAAGTATTTTCACACTCAAAGCACATGTAATCTCTCACACCAGTGTGTATTTTCTGATGGTCTTTTAAATATTGTAAACATGAAAAACTCTTTCCACACAAATAACATGAATGTGGTTTCTCCTTTGTATGAACTCTCAGGTGATTCTTCAGGTATGAAGCTCTCAAAAATGTTTTGCTGCATTGATCACATGTGTACAGTTTTTCTCCAGTGTGGATGTTCATGTGTTTCTTAAGGTTCGATGATTGTGTGAAACTCTTTCCACATTGATCACAAATGAATGGTTTCTCTCCAGTGTGAACTCTCATGTGAACATCAAGACTTGTTTTGTATGTGAAACTCTTTCCACACTGAGTGCAGGTGAAAGATTCCTTGGCTCTTCTTTTCTTTAAATATTTATTTGGGTTTTTTGTTTGAGAACAGCTCAAGGGTTTTGCTACAGTTTTGACATGATTTTTCTCCTCATCTTCACTTGATTCTTTTTTCTCCTCATTTTCTTCAATTGAAAAAAAAGCTGTGAAAGGACATACAAATTAACAATGATATAATAACGGAAATAGGGCTGGATGATATGACCTAAAATCAAAACCTCAATTAATTGAACACTTTAACTCAATTATAATTATTGAATGATTATTTTATTTTTAACATTTGTTTATATTCTAAAACGTAAAATACATTTCATTAAATTAAATTAATATAAAACATCAATTTGTAAATGCACCAGTGTGCACGCATTTTTTGTGTTTTATTTACATAAGATACAATGAGAACACAAACAAAGAAACAAAAGTAAATATTCTCACAAACTATGCTACTGTTTATTTAAAACCTCTTAAACATTGTGGCCATTTTTGTTTAATAAAGCTGTCATGATGCAAACATCTGTCATGACAAATAAAAAAATAACTACAGTATCTTAAAGTTAAATTAAGAATTATATATATAAAATATTAAACTTAAGAACCCAAACACACTGTAAACAATTCTACATCAGTAAAACACTGACCATCACCTACATTAAGGTTGAAACAATGACAGCAAAAGTGTTTGCCATTTAACCCTTTGGGGTCTGAGGGTGTTTTGGGGCCCTGGAGTAGTTTTGGCATGCCCTGACATTTGTTTTTTTTAATGGCTAAAGTCTGATAACACTGTATTCAGCACAAACTGGGCTACAATAATTTGTGAGCAGCATAAAAGTACATGTTTGTGTTTTTGAGAAAACAATGTTTATGCATGGTTAGTGAAATTTTTTTTTTTTAAGTCACTGAAATAAGTCCATAAAACACATACAGAATGTTTGTTCACAAGACTTTTGAGAATGTGGTAGACTAGCGGTTCTCGGTTCAGTGTACCGGTGATCCGAAAACCGATGCAACCGGTTCTTGACTCGAGAACGAGAACCGCTCCAGCAGCGGGCGTGTACATTAGTTATCCGGCTCGCTGCACACATGCTGCTCTGCTCGTGTTCATCTTCAGTTCTCTCTTCACAGCAGTTCAGTCAGTGTACTGTTTGAGTAAATACATTACTCCGGGATAGTGGTTTATTTCGACTCAGAGGGAGTGTCAGCCATGTTAAAAATGTGAATAACTTAAGTAATTTGTGGCTTGATGCTACCTGGAGACGCGAACCGTTTCAAACGATTCAGTCCGATTTGGTGAACTGGTTCAACCGGTTCATTAAGAAGATCCGGTGAAATCGAACGATTCGTTCGCGAACCGGACATCACTACGAGAAACATGGAGAAAGACCAACGAGCAGATCAGGACGAACAACAGAGAATTACCTTTTCTGAAGGGTTGGTAATAATGTGATATTGTCGGAACAAAGGTACAGCAGTCAACCGCGATAGCAGTGCATCATCCGGCCGGACAGTTTAGAGGAGCGCACAGGCTCACAATGGAGGATGCGTTATGAATTAAGCTGAAATGTAATAACTCTTGTAGTGTTACAATTGACCCCGTGCTTGTGCCCCGCTCACCCTGTACATGTGAAATGCTTTTTACAGACCGTTTCCTTATTGGTGGGTAGCCAAATGCATATGAAGGAACGAAAACAACAAACTCTTTATATCCCTCGGAAAGATACAGACGATAGATATGAATGAACATACCTGAAACAGTAGGCTACAAAAGCACCAACTGCGCATGCACAGGCTGTGTGAATAAGCCTGTTGCTACTCGAACCTGTACAATCCGTCGATAAAAACAAGATAAAGACAGCCAGATGTGCAATAACTGTGGGCAATTGTTTGTTCATATGTTTGTTTACTGTTCAAGCCGATCTACTGCGCATGTGTGGAGCATGTCAGTATAACACAGGCTTAAGCCAACTTGTCCCACATTTGACATGGCAATTGTTGCATTCTACTAAAAGTAGCCAAATTCTATTAATATGGCCATATGTACAATTTCAAGCTTCCATTTCAATTTGCCAGTGTCAAGTGTTGCATCCAAGAAGTGGCCTCACTTGTCAAGTGTTACAACCAGACGTGGTCCTTATCTGTTTTATAATATATGGGGCAAACTTATATATTCCAGATAATCGCGTTGTTTAAGGGACCGTCTGGATATTCCAGTGAAAAAACTGTAAACAATACCCAATCATTCTTTCAAATGAATGATTTTACAAGGTTGCAGTAAATGCAAGCTGACTTACTGAAAGTGAGCTGCAACAATTGTAAAGTTAATGTACTTGTATAAAGACGGGTGATTGAGGTAAATAGTTGAGTGTGACACAATACATGTGACATTTTTCCAATACCTCTCGTCTTAAGTCAGTCGGGACACTAGCAATGTACTACAAACCTTTGAATGGAAAATTGTGTTGGAGAATTATAATAATTAAAGAAATAATCAACTGTAGAAAGTCATTCTTATTACTAGGAACCTTCTACAAGTTTGTATGTTAATAGGCTATTACTTGGGCAATTTCAACATTTAAAAGCAAATTTGAACTGTGAGACATCTTAGGCATCATGTGGAGTTATAACGAGTCAAAGCATTCTCAGGTGTAAATATACAGCTATAATGCACCTTGTAGTCATGGGCTGGTATGAGATTGTGACGGTATGATAACCTTGAACAACAATATCAGAGTTTCATGGTATCACGCTATTGCAGGTACAGCTCTAAAATGTGTTATTTTTAAACATCTTGGTTAAAAGTGCAGTAGGAGATCTTGGAAAATGCTAACTTTAGCCTGATAGCACTGAACGCGAACGTCCCACCCTCCCTGCAATTCGCCATCCAAAGCCATGCCCCCTGAACTCATACAGGTCAGACCAGCAGTCTTCCCCATGATTGTGTAGCCTAGTGAACCAAACTGAGAGACCATTTTGAAGGCTCAGGAAACCTTTGCAGGTGTTTTGAGTTGATTAGCTGATTGGCATGTCACCATATTCTAATTTGTTGAGATAGTGAATTGGTGGGTTTTTGTTAAATGTGAGCCAAAATCATCACAATTAAAAGAACCAAAGACTTAAACTACTTCAGTCTGTGTGCATTGAATTTATTTCATACACGACTTTCACAATTTGAGTTGAATTACTGAAATAAATTAACTTTTCCACGACATTCTAATTTATTGAGATGCCCCTGTACAACATTACTACAATACATCAGTAGGGTTGGGCGATATGGCCTAAAAATAATTTACGATTTAAATCGATTTTTCCCCCCTACTTAAAATCAATCTGCAGATGACAAAGTAATTGTTCAAAACAAGGTTTAACTTTGTTTTGATTTTCCTTTCTGGGATTTGATCTGGATTTCCCCCTTGGGGTTAAAGTGCAAACGGAAACAACAAGTCGAAAAGACAAGATGGCAGGCCCTGCCATTGTAAACAGTGAAAATGCAACATAACTTAACATAAAATGTAACATAACATTCTTATCATACCGGATACAGTTTGTAAATGTTTGTAAGACTGTAGGTCAGTGGTCTTTTTTTTTTTATGAGAGCCGCACTGATAGGGCAAAGTCAATCAGAGAGCCACTTTTACCAAGAAGTATCAAAAGTTACATCTAGTCATAAATAGCATGTCTTTTTATCAATCTGTCATCCCTGATATGCAATGCAATGCTAAAGGGGCCATCATTCGTTATCATTTACCAGTCAAATTTGTGTCTGAGACCAGATGATTTAAAAAAAGCAGGATTACCTTAATGCTGGAAACGTTGGACAGAGCAAGTGTAAATATTTTTTCTAGTCTATATTTCCATCTTGTAATGCCGCAGTTTTAGGAATTTTTTTTTTATATAAATTATTATTTGTAATAGAGCAGGCACTGTCTGACCGTGTTTACACACCGCTGCGCTAAAAGTCTGTCTACACTTGTTGACACTACAGTTGCAAATCATCTGAACGTAGTGTCAGTACAGTTCATCATAAATAGAGCGAGGCATCAGTTTACTGACGGGGATCGTGTCGCGCCGCATCCAGTGTAGACAACATCACTGGGTTCTATTGTCTTTTGTCGGATCGCGCCACTCGCGTGCGGTGTATACATGGTGTGAGTTTTTTAATGGGTTATGTTATAGCCCTGCTTGTTTTTAATGTTTTTATGACATATCTGTGTTGACTGCATGATCATATAATCGTATTATTTACTGCAATGCGAGCCAGAAAGTAAAGCTTGGCGAGCCGCGCAATAAGTAACACTGCTGTAGGTTGGTTTTTGGCGAGTGTGCTTGTGCTGCCGCGGTCTTGTTCATTTCATAGGGCGCAACATCTCTCTCACTCGGCAGCATGCCTCTGTTTGAGGTGCTGCAGTAAATTGGTCGTACTTTGCTAGCAACAAACCTCAAACACACTTTGCAGCGGGGTGTTGTTTGTTCTTGTGTCTGACGCCGCAAAACCGAACCAATTCCAAATTACGGATGACATTGTGCCTTTCTTGGGAACGAGTTCTTCCCTGCTCGCTGCCATGTTGTTTGTGTATCTCTGTGACAAACACGCGGGGGGAGGGCTGAGCCCATTCGGAACCACGGGAGCCCAGAGGAGAGCATCGGCGGATGTTAAAGAGAAAACCGATTTTCATTCAAACAAATCAATGTAAACTACACATTCGAGTTAATCGGTAAAATGGATTTATCGCCCAGCCCTAACTTAAAGCTAAAAAAGTGTCAAAGGCTTGGAACTGATTATTTTAACAGAACAATTCAACAGCTCAACAATAAACCATGAGAAAACATGAGATCAAGTATGAGAACTTGCAGCAGAACACATTATTATTATTTCACATTTGATTATTTTATTTACTTCTAAACAACTCTTCAGTTGCGCCTAAATCAGTCATTCTGACAGTTATCACGTTTTTGACAATTCTGCAGGATGGGATACATTTTTAGCTTATTTACTGCTTAAATTATGATTCAGATAATTGTGTAATTATTTGTTCCATTTTTATTTAAATTATTTCACACTTTTAAAACTTTTTAATGCTGTACATTATGTATGACAGACAGGATATTTTATTATACCTATATATTAT